ATATGAACTAGACGAAGTACCTGTGCGATGCACGTATATCTAGAATATAATAACAAACTCTTTGATTATATAATATAATAGAAGTTGTACAAACTTGAAAGCTTGGACCATATGAAAAATTGCAAGTAAAATTCAAATTAACAATAGTGTAAAAATAAGCTCTATATATGTTGCAATTAAATAACAATATAGAACAATTATTAGTGGGCACATCTCACTTGAAACATTATAATAAAGAACTATCATATATCTTGATAATGTACAAAATGTATCATGAATTTTCAATAAACTTTTTACAGGCTACATTGTTAGTAGTGTTGATAGCACGACCATCATGTATTAAAACCTCGAACTCACTCTTTGAGATGCCTCTTGACATGATAACATACAATTGACCATGCAACCTCCAACTCGCTCTTGACTATTCTTTCAATCTTCTCTTCTTTTCTTCTTTTCTTTCAATCCTAGCCTCCACTTTTCTCTTCTTTTCTTCTATTCTTTCAATCTTCTTTGACTCCAATAATAAAAAAGAGTCATTTTAATCGGTGTTTCCAGTTCTATATATATGTTTCTTTTCTAGTATCGTCTAGAAGTTTATTTCCGATCCGGTGACAGAGTGTCGCTTGTCATATTTATATTCTCCGCCATCTTTGGTCGGTCATCAGTTGCATACATTTGACATCCATTACCCCACGGTAAGTGGAAGTCTTTGCGGCACTCAGGTAATGTTGTTGTCATTGTTGTTATAAAATAAAGGAAACATGGGTTAATTCAAAAGTTTGTCTCAATCGTTTGGTTTTTTATATTTCACGTGTCTCGACCAAAAACACAAAATAAATATTTCAAGGATAGAAATTAGTAAATATGGAAAACAAATACTGGACTATGGGTACCAAATTACAACTTTTATATTTTATATTATTATATAAAATTAATACAAATAATACAAATTTTCTAGAGAAAATATTTTTTATGTACAAAATTAATACCTGTATTATTATTATTTTTATTATCATAAGTATTAGTATTACAACTATTTTTAACCAATGAGAAATATTTTCATTACTAAATTAGATGTATTACCTTGTATAACTTAAATTACACTTTCACATGAAATTATGAAGTCAAAATTAGATCAAGGTTAACCATGTGTATAAAAATGGTTTAGCATTAAGATATATTATTATAAAATCGATGGTCATGAATATTTATAACCAATGATATCATATGGTGTGTGATAATTTACAAAAGGAAAATATTCAATGCTTACATATTGTCAACATTCATACATTGACTGCGCCGGAGTATATATTTCAAACATACGTTACATTTTTACTCTTATTTTTGGCGGGATTTTTCCCTCCAATTGTGGTGCAAATTTTTTTACTTTATACGGAGTATTTTATAAAGATAAGAGCTGATCAACTATTGATTTGGAGTTTTTGTTTGTAAATTTAGAGCATATTCCGATCCGAATGCAGTTTAAGTTATTTTCTTTTTGCAAGAAGAGTTTTGCTAAAGATGGTGACGTGACAAGTTAAGATACCACAAAATCGTCAAAATCTGATTTTGTCTGTTCTATATATTCTATTGAAGTTTGATTTGTCAAAACATTCTAAATATTGAACGTGCTTAAAAATTTGTGTAGTATTTATAGTAATAGTATGATAATGTATCTAAAAAACATTATGAAAATGTATCTTTCAATTTATCAATAGTGTTTCCACATTCTTTTATGAATTGTTCTTAATTGGGGTTGTTATTTCGTATGTTAGGAAGCTAGAAATTAAATGGTCCATTTACTATATTGTTAGTACCGTCTCTGATCGGGAAACAGCGTCTTGTTTGGAATCTGACAAACAGTAGTTTGGTTGAAATGTTCAAACGGTCAATACGGAGTATGCTCTATGCATATAAGATTTGACTCAAAATAAGAATTTTATGAATCCGGGATCCGAAAGATAGACGAACTATCAATTCGGGAGCTGAAAGATGAAATGTATCGGTATAAAATCCGAATGATGGAAAACTATCAATGTATCACCCGAATGATTGAAAACTATCAATTTAGGACCTAAGTTTTCATAAATTTTATTATTCTTTTTATTTTGAAAAATTTAAATAATATTTAGTTTTATTAAACTAATAAACTTTTGTGGAGAAAATTTCACCAAATATTAGCAATGAAACTAATAAAAAATTAAATAAATCAAAACCTATGAAATATTAGGTCCTAGATTGATAGTTTTTCACCTTTCGAGCCCTATAGTACATTTCATCTTTCAGGTCCCGAATTATGAACTCGTTTATCTTTCAAGTACCAGATTGATAAAATTTCAATTATTAAATTCAATTCAAAAGATAAAAATGTGATTTATTTTAAAAAAATTGAAAAAGGGACATATTTAGTGACTATTTCTCAATGACTCGTCATCTACCATTGATTTGTCACCCTGAAATGTATTATAGTGACTCTTGTCCAATTACTCGTACATATTGACTAGTCATATTTTTGTCCATAAAACATAACTAATCATATTTTTGTCCGGAGAACTTTGTTAGTTATATATGTCATTTTTCTTCTAATTTTAATACTTTTGCAAATGTTGATCTTCCAAACACCAAGGTCCAGTACTTTTAGAGCCCGTTTGATAACACTGAAATTGGCGGAATCGATTGATCCTGCAGATATTTATGAAGTTCTGGCTTAAGTGACTGTATTGGTTGATTCTACAGATTTATGAAAAATTTAATTTTAAAATATATTTTTTATTAATAAAATAAGAAAAAATTATATGTAAAAATAGCTAAAATGGTTCTCTAAACTAACTTCAGCCGAAACAGCCAGAAAAGTAACTCCAACCTTACTTTTTGTTGTTATTATTATACATTTCAGCGCGCGAAATCAAAAGTAACGTGTTCGGTGAAAAAATTAGTTGATAAGTCTGATAAGCCGAATAATAGTTTTACCAAACAGGTCTTAATCTATCTATAGAGTCCAATAGAGATAGGAGTTGTTATACCGTGAGAGAAGCCCACACTGAGGATCATGCTCCCATATGTATTATTTGACTTAATAATTAAATAAAAAGTGTGATGTAAATTCTTTGTAATGAAATGTAACTCGCATTATTACAAATGTAACTCCAGTTAGTGTCAAATGTAACTTGTTCCCTGAAATATAACCCATGTTACTCCCTCTAGTAGTTCTATCACTTTTCATCTGTGACATGTAAACTGTGTGTTAGTTAGCAAATGTAACTTTAGACAAAATGAAATGTAACTCGATAGTGTGTAAAATGTAACTTGAGAAAATTTAAAAATGTAAATCATGTTAATTGAGATGTAATTTGAACTAAAATGAAAAATGTAAATCACGTTAATTGAAATGTAACTTGACTACATTGAAATGTAAATTGCTATAACAGAAATGTAACTTGTGCCCAAATCAAATATAAGCATAGAAATATAACTTAGCCCAAATATAATCAAAATAATTGACGGGAAAGATAAGAATTTGGATCGGTAATGACTTTCCTCAAATTTTGTCCCTCAAACTTGAATCAGAGGGAGAAATTTGGACTTGGGATATTGATTTTGTATACATATTGAATCTGCGCATGGATAGATGAGCGTAGATATGATTGGGATCTCAGATTTTAAGGTCTGTGTTATGTTGGTCATGAGATTTTAGGCAATTTCGAAGCAGCGCGGGGAATCAGATGCGGAGTACCTAAGCCTAGACACGACACTCCCAGATTCACAATAAATACAGAGAGGGAGGAAACACAGTTTCGATGCAGAGCACATGCGCAACAGATAGGCATAGCAACTGACGAAGGAGATGAATGGGCGAAGGAGACGAAGGAAATAAAAGATTTACAATTTTTAGTATGAAACTGTAATGTTTGAGATCGGCACACCTTGCACATGGTGAGCCGATCCCACGATATAATTTGCGAATAGAGATGGGTTAGATCTCACCAAATCATCAAAGATAAGGTACCTGAGTGCCTCTATTTACCGCCCTTCATTGACTAATTACGACCACAATATATTAAATTAAAATATATTATTTAAATTCTTATATTACCATTCTAGTTAAATGAAACACATCTATGCCGAAAGCCTCCGCCCCTTTGTGCGGCCTTATATGTGCCCTTGAAGCTATCTAGTGGCCGGTAAATAACGAGATAAACGGCATAAAGGCAGATCTACCAGGAATGGATGAAGGCCCCTTATATTTCTTTATTAAATTTAGACTAAAATTTGTCATTTTCAAAGATTATCTCACTATATTATTAACTTATCTACATGTATCCAAATTATTTTAATTACCTTTGTATTTGATTTATTCTAACCCTATGAATCATGAAGATTGAGGAATTTGAGAATTAAGATCGATAGAATGAAGATGAACAGTAAAACTTGTGAATTAATCTATATCTCGTTATTCATGTGTGGGAATGTTTAAGTTATAAAATATCAAGTAATGGAGAGGAATTTTTCACTCTTTCTCATTCGTATGGTAGCATACATATATACAAGAATACAATGACTAGCTTCGTGAAACAGAAAAGATGAGAACTAAACTATCGCTGATTCTATCTCTATGTACAAGTGGAATAGCTATAGTAGAAGTCATTGGCAGAACTTCTAACTATACGGCCAAAGAAATAGGAAAAGTTTAAAGGTGGGTAAGCTTGACTACTAAAAATATTGTAGATAAAATATTGTACTCAAAATAATATGTAGTATACGTAAAATATGCATGGCTTCCATGCATGACGTTCAACACCCCGAAGATGGACAGTGAAGATCCCGAAGATCCATCTTGGATAATAAATAGGAAAATTTTACGGTGCATCTAAATTATGGGATGTTTTGGTGCATTCGGCAGTTGGCATCTTTTTATTGGTTAGTCAGTCCAGGTCACGTCTTGATTAAAAAATCCATTTATTGCAAGTAGGTCCTTCCTGAGTTTTACCGGAAAGAAGGAAAGAAGGGGTAGCTACCACAGCCGCGTCCGGGAAGGCAGGGAGATACGGTCAAACTGGGAGAAGGCAGGGAGATACGGTCAAGTCGTGTCGGCGAAGGCAGGGAGAGACGAAGGCAGCCAGAAACGAACGGTTCAAGCTGCGTCTGGGAAGCGAAGGCAGCCATAGACGAACCTTTCAAGTGGGGAGACGAAGAAACCAGGGAAACGAGGACCAGAGAAATGAAAGTCTGACATCTTCATCTCTAATTTCATGGCCGCTACTCAATCGAAGGAAGGTGTATCATCTCTAATTTCTTAACTTTTCACCAATTATGATTGAACTCTATGTTAAAGTTATTATCCCTAATTTTGATATGCATTTTTATTGTGAATTAGTTAATGTGATTTCCAATTTTTCCATGTGTGATGTAGTTTTCCATGTATTGTATCTTTTGTGGTTAACAACGGCAGATGATCTATTCGTTTTCCAACCGGATTGCATCCCTCCAAATCCCAGTACCTTATGAAATGGCTCTTCTTACTGAACTATCTCAATCCGAGTACCTTATGTTCACCTCCTTTTGCAACAGTTGGAACTGAACTCTCTCAATCCCTAACTGCTCAAGCCTCATTTTACCGAAACAAGTTGCTGCACATGCTCTAGCAAGTTCAAGTTTGTCAACTACAGTAGGACCACAAAAGGGCATAGCAGCAATGTGACTCATGAGAAATATTCTTTCATCAACCCTCAGCTGTTGACTGGAATTTCCCGACCAAAATGAAACTACAAAAGCTGTTTCCTCATGTCCCACCACACAAGATTCATCATCTCTAGCTGCTGAATTTATAGAATGTTCAGTTTAGACTTTTTCATTCCCTTCCGAGTGAGATTCATAGTTATTTTCGCTGAGTCTATTTTTCAGAATCATTGCATATTTGCATGCATATTCCGAACAGATATAATTTCTTGCTAGTTTACACTTGGTGATTTTGTAAGTATGGAAGTAAGTTGTAGCTTTTTCTTTTTATGAGCTTCCCTTCTGAATCTGCTCCCAGCCACATCAATAAGATCAATGACTTTTTTCAGGAAGATATCTTTCATGAATGAATCTAGACTTAAGTTGAGACTCATATTTCTCACATAGCCCTTGCAGTAATTGGATATCATTCTCATGGCTCGGTTCAGATATATTACAAGTTGAAACCCAAGCAATGGCTTTAACAGATTAGCAGTGTCAAGTCCGAGTCCGAATCCCTTACTTCCTCTCCTATCCGTGCCAGAACCACTTAGAGTAGGGACCTCATCAATAAGAAGAATGATATTTTCTTAATTTAGGTCTCTATCAAGGCAGAACACCAGAAGTTGGTATTTGCCAAGTCAATTAATCACGTGTCATGGCAATAAATTCAAAACATGATTTGTTTCTATTAGCTTAATCTATGTGTGGCATGCTAGATTCTTTCTACCTACAAATTTGTAATTTCTTGAAACTTGTGATGCTTCTACTTAGTAGAGGAAAGGAATGCTTGTTTGTTAGCAATACACACACTATGGATATAAGTACGTAGTGTTTTTATAGTAACTAAAAGAATATATAATAGGTTAAATATTGATTTTGTGGATCAAGCCATCATATTTGTTAAATTTTTAGGTTTTTTATTAATAATTTTGTTTAATATCTATTTAGTGATTGAATCTGAAAATAGATCATTGTGCTGATAACATTTATTGTCTCTAATAACTTTAACTAGGGAGGAATGGGGAATAAAGTTAGGAAAAAATATATAGGATAAGGGATTAAGGGACAAAATATTTTATCGCATGAGTGGGGAGTCCTAGGAGAAACCCAAGAAGGATGGTTTGGTTAGTGAAAATTAATAAATTTAGGTGCTTCAAAATTACACTAAAAATCAATGTGAAATTACACTTGAGTACTTGACAAACCAATTCCAGATTCTTCTCATTCTAAAGAATTTTAGTGTGCAGATGGATTAGCACGTACTATATTCATGTCTTATTTACTTCATTAGCATTTCTTTAGTAGGTATTGTAATGTATTTGTGACAAAATGCAGATGGATGTTTCTCTTAATGATTCAATGAGGTTTTTGGATGATGAAAATCAGTTAAGTTCTAATGAGGATGCTGCTTGCGCTGAAAACCAAAGCAAAGTTAATTATAGTGATGCTGAAAATGTTGTCGAATGAAATGATGACAATGAGTGATTGTATGCAATAGGGCAGGTTTGTGTAGTAAAGTCCACTTGGCAAGGGTGGACAGAAAAAGAGAACATCGACCTCTCACACGAACTAATTGTCAAGCTCAGCTTAAGGTCCACTTAGATTACAATACATCAAAGTGGAAAGTGTCATTATTTCAAGAGACTCATAACCACACGTTGACCCCAGTTTCAGATGTCCATTTGATTCCCAAATATCGTGCTTTAAGTGAGGCGGATAAAGCTCACGTGGATAGTTTGCATTCATTTGGAGTGAGAACTTGTCACATAATGGGCTATTTGTTAGCTCAAAAGGGTGGACATGCTAGTATTTGTTTTTCAAAGAGGAATCTATACAATCACTTTCATAAAAAACAACGTGACATAATTAAAGATGGGGATGCGCTTGTTACGTTGAGTTATTTTGAAGGGAAGGCTGATAATGATCCTATGTTTTATTCAAAGTTCCAAACCACAGAGGATGGTAAGCTGAAACATTTATTTTGGGCAGATGGGCGCAGTAGGTCAGACTTTCAATGTTTTGGCGATGTACTTGCTTTTGACACCACTTACAAGAAGAATAAATACAACAAGCCGTTGGTAATTTTTTCTGGATGTAATCATCATTCACAAACAATTATTTTCGATTGTGCTTTGTTGGATGATGAGATTATTGAGACGTACAAATGGGTGTTAGAGGCTTTCTTGGACGCGATGCACAACAAACATCCTATATCAGTTGTCACTGCCGGTGATGGCGCTATGAGAGACGCCATAAAGCAGGTTTTCCCGAATGCGTCACATCATCTTTGTGCGTGGCACTTGCACAAAAATGCATGTGAAAATGTTAAGAAATATGATTTTTTTAACAGACTTCATGAAATTCATGTATTATAACTTTTCCCCCGATGAATTTGAGGAATACTGGAAGCAAATTGTTTCAAAGCATAACCTTGCAGGCAATAAGTGGGTGACGAAAACATATGGGATCAAACATATGTGGGACACAGCATATTTGCGTGATAAGTTTTTTGGCCGTATAAGAATGACGTCACAATGTGAAGCGAGTAACGCCTTAATCAAGCGCTACGTCAGAAGAAAAAGTAGCATTTTTGAGTTCACCCATTGTTTTGAGCGAGTTGTACGAGAATATAGAAACAATGAGCGGGAAGTTGATTTTAATGATTCATTTGTAGAGCCTGTGTTGACTACCTCTCTTCATAAGTTTGAGCGTGAAGCCTCAAAATTATACACTCTACAAATGTTTAAAGAAGTTAGGGAGGAGCTGTTGATTGCCAGTTCACTTAATGTTATTGGGCGAGTTGAAGTTGGAGACAAATTGTTGTTCGAGATGAAAAAGTATTCCGATCCAGGAAAAGAGCACAATGTTGTTTCTGATGCATTGAAGACCAATCTATCTTGTGAGTGTCATCTCTATGAATATCGGGGAATACCATGTGCTCACATATTTGCGGTCATGAAATACGAGTTCATGGATGCAATTCCTATTAGTTTAGTTTGTATAAGGTGGACAAAGACAGCTAAGAGCGAGTTAGTTTGCTCGGATACGTTGGATGAAATTGATTCAGATGTAATGAAAAGTGCCCGGTTAGGTTCAGTAGCTGCTCTGGCGCACAAGCTTTGTGATATTGCTTCAAATAAGAGGGGGCTGTTTCTTAACATAACGAACAATCTTTTAAGTCTTATTCATAAGTATGAGACAATGCCGGATAGTTGTAGCAAAGATAAGTCATGTCTTAATCACGATCCGACTATAGTCAAGACTAAAGGAGCACCGAAAAAGAGAGGGATTGGTCGAAAAAATGGAAGTTGTAGAACCTGTAATAGTTTTGGCCACACAGCAAAAATTTTTGCAAAGCTTCTTGCTACAGATGATGACAAAAAAGACGATGATCATAACGAGTTATCATCTCCAGAGTTTAGTCATAATAGCATTTTTAATTTATCATTTTTATGTATTTTAGAAATACATACACACACATAGACATTATTATAATTATAGAAAATAGTAATACAATTTGATATTATTCTACAGGAAAAAGATGATGTGACCCCTCATGAAATCTATGAGGAAGCGCCTCATGAAATTAGCAGCTCCTTTGTTGTTCTGACTGCAAGTGTACATGCAAGTACTGATTTGAAATATAATTATTTAGTTTTTCTTGTGAAAAAAGTATTTCTTTTACTTGCAGAAGCGAAAGCAAAAGGAGAAAGAGCTTTTTAAAAACAGGTTGAGTAAGAAAGCCAAATGCCCTGCGCCAATATATGAGAAGGATGATGTATGTCTGCAATTTTGTGTTTTGTTTGTAATTTTTCTTCACCCGTGCAGTATAGGTTATGAGCTATACAAGAAGTGTAACTACGAGGACAAACACAAGTTTAAATTACTAATTTGTGTTGTGACTTTTTTCTTCACACAACAGAAACATAAGTTGAATAAAAAAGAGGGTGGTTCAAAGATGATTGATAACAAAATGAAGCACTCCACCTCAACTTCTAAACAGGTATTTACTATTTTTGCACATACTTTCTATAGAGTTGTTCATCCTATTCCTAAACAATAGATCTGTTAAGTTAAACATGCGATCTTCAACCTTCAACCTTCAACAACATGTTATCTCCTTCAGAAGCCTCCTTGTTATCTTCGAAATTCTCTAACTTTGATTTGGTTTTGTTTTCTAACAAGCCTGAGAGTAACACTCTTAATGGTGCGGTTCCAATGATTCCTCGACAACTTTTTATGTTTCCCTCGGTACCTGAATTTTCATTGAATTTTATGAGACACAACCAAGGGGTGCCAATTGTACCTGGATATGCTCAGTTCCCCTCATATGCTCAACTTCCTCCTGGATATGGCCAATTCTCTTCTTATGCTCAACTTCCACATTCAGTAGCTACACCACAACCTACTCAGGTTTATTTGAACCTTGTTTTAACTATCTTTATTAATTTTAATACACAATTTTAACCTTCTACATTCATTTTTTCAAATGTATAATTTATGTCATGCAGAATTTTAATGGTGGGCATTGGAATAATTTGGTTCATCCAACTAATTATGGGAGTTAAAATGGTACGTTTGGCTGCATCATAAGCTTATTCAATACCATGTACTTTTTTTATCTGTATCACCAGACCCCGTTGGCACCTATGTCTTCGCAAAAGACTGGTTTAAGTTGATGGCGGCAAAGTTTTCCTCCCATTCTCCCAATGGTGGTAGAGTTGTGAATTTGTGATATACTATGTTTGATCTTGTTCAAAAAGGAGGAAACATCCTGAAGTTATATCTGTATTGCCAATGTTAGTTAATGTTGTTATTTGTATAATAATGTTTCAGGTGATAGTGAGCAGGATGTGGAACAGTTGGAAGACACTACGAAATTAGTTGGGGTTTCTTTTCCTTTGAATTTAAATTGTCAAAGATGTATAATATTTTCCATTATTTTGATGCATATACAACAAAAGTTGTATTAGATTTTGTATAAGTGGCATTGGACTTTGATCAGGTGGATTTGGAATTTAACGCTACAATCAAGAAACGAGAGAGTTGTACACATTTTCTGATTTTTTCAATGATGAATGTTTGTCATTGCTTCTTGCATCTAGTTTTGTAATGTGCTGATCTTACTATGAGATAGATCACATTGATGAGTTAACACCATATTGTATTTGTTGTATGAGTATGTTATTCTTTGCACCACATTGTTGTATTTTTTTGAAAGTCTTGCATTATGTGCTTATGTGAAAGGTGCTTTAAATCTATAATTTCAGAATTATAACCGCAAAACAATTAAAAAATAAGTCATTAAACAATATACTTTGGAAATGTGTGAAATACAATGACTTAGTCGCATTAAATCTAAAAAGTTCCCCCACCCCCGCCCCATCTCCCATCACTCCTAGACCCGCCCCATCCCCGCCTCGCTACGTTTTTCCCCACGGGTGCCCCATATATATTACATCGGGTTCACTACAAGAAAAAATATTATTTGCGTCCAAGTTTTTTGTGTCGACTACTGTGGACGCAAATAACTACTCTTTTGCATCGACAAGTGGACGCAAATGATATTAACTAAAATCCCGCCCAGACCTTGTACAATTTCATTATTTGTGTCGCCTTGTCGACGCTAAAAGATCTTAATTATATTTGTGTCAACGGGTGTCGAAGCAAAAAACGAAATGTAAAAATGTAAAAGCCCAAGCCCAACACACACAACACACTTACCCTATAGCTACGCGTCTTATGCCATTGCCGATTAAGCCCAACTGTAAAATCAACCTGCGACGAGGATGAAGGAGGCGAAGACGGCGATACCTGCGAAGACGGCGAAGTGAACCTGTGTTGATGGAATCGGTCGGATAAACCTGCAAAGAAGTGTTAGAAATAATAATATAGCTCGAGACGCGTCAGACGCTGTCCTCAAGAAAGTATTTCCGACTGGCGAAAACCTTTCCCCAAGATATAACGAGCTCTTCGGCGTAAGCCGGTAACAGAACAACGAGGGTATAAAATATTAATCCAGCAGCAATGTGATATATTAGGGGATGTTTTTCTCCAAAATTAATCTTTTCAACCTTATGTTCTTGCATGACCGAACATGTAGATATATATGATAAGGTTGATCGTTATTGCTCAGGTGAAGCATTTAAAACTAACGTTCTCAAACTTTACTCCACATACGTTGAGCATATAATGATATTTAAAGTTCAAAAACGTTTCATATAAGTTAAACAACTTAACGTTAGTATATTAATATTATTAACTATAAATAATAGTGCTAATGAACTCCAACCATGCAGCCAACATATAACATGCATCAGATAATATTTTAATAGAATATATGAAATATCTAATTTATAAAATTTATTAATAAGGTATTATTCATTTGAAATACTCCCATTTATTCCAAAAATCCCCCACATATTTAAAATGAATAGTTTAGAAAAATTCCTGCTGGATTAAAGGAATGAGACTTTAAGTTTGGTGTCCGTAGACTTGAAACCCAACCGAGACGATTAAGTCTTAATAAACCGAGCTTTTGGTGAAACCTATAGTTTCTTGAAACCAACAAGCTACTATTGGTTAATCAGGGTCTTAACAGTCATGTCTCACCCCGCACAATTTCTCGTTATTACACCGTTGTGCGCCGTAAGGCCATGCGCGTGCTTGGTGTTCATGAGTGCTCTAGAAGTTTTGTCATGCTTCATGGAGGCGGCCCCACCTCACACTCATATAGGTGATATCATCAAGTGTGTACCGCTTTTGCACACCACCCTAAAATTAAGGGCTATGATAATCATTAAGAGCTTTAAGCTGAACCTCTCAAAGAATGCGGTTTCTAGCCTATATCTCACATCATGGAAATGGGCAATTTTAGTTAGGCTAGCAGAACTAAATGGAAGACTTGTTATTACCCATTTGAACTTGCTTCATGGGATCTCCAATCACACAAGTTGGGTTCCCATCCCCATTTGTTTCAGAGTGACACAAGTCCCATTTCCTTAGATGTTTCGGTTATCAATTTTCGTCCTAGGGCTTTTGTCAAAGGATCCGCTAAATTTCCTTGTGACCTCACAAAATTAATGGACACAATTCCATTCTTCAATAACCGTTTAATGACTTTATGTCTTAAACGAATGTGTCTATTCTTCCCATTATAACACATTTTCTTAGCAGTATCTATTGCACTTCTGCAATCACAATGAATAGACACAGATGGTGTTGGTTTTGTACCAACCGGAATTTCTGCTAAGAAAATTTTCAACCACTCCGCTTCACTACTAGCCACTTCCAAAGCAATAAGCTCTGACTCCATAGTAGATCTAGAAATTATAGTTTGTTTGGTTGATTTCCATGTAATGGCACCACCTCCAAGGGTGAATATATATCCAGTATTGGATTTTATCTCATATGAGTCAGAGACCCAGTTAGCATCACTGTATCCCTCTAGTACAGCGGGTAACCCACTATAAAATATACCATAATTAATGGTACCTCTCAAATATCTAAGTAACCGCCTCAACGCGGTCCAATGATCCCCACTTGGATTATGAGTATATCGACTCAATCTTCCGACAGCATAAGCTATGTCGGGCCTCGTATAATTCATCAAGTGTAATAGACTTCCAATAATTTGGGAATACTCATATTGAGCCTCGGGATCACCTCTATGTTTTTTCAATTGTATATGAGAGTCATAAGGGGTGCTCACGGGGCTGACATCGAAATGTCCAAACCTCTTTAGAAGTTTTTCAACATAATGCTCTTGAGACAGTATAATACCATCATCCTTCCTTATGACTTTCATACCCAAAATCACTTTTGCTTCCCCCAAGTCTTTCATAACAAATTTTGAAGCAAGAAAGGATTTTGTCTCATTTATTAGCTCAAGGTTGCTACTAAAAATTAACATATCATCCACATATAAGCAAATAATAATGCACACACCATTTTCACATTTAGTGTATACACACTTATCTACTTCTAGTGAGGTAAAACCATGAGCAAATAATACTTCATCAAATTTTTCATTCCATTGTTTTGGAGCTTGTTTCAAACCATATAAAGATTTGATCAACTTACACACTTTGTGTTCCTGACCAATAACTACATGACCCTCCGGTTGCACCATATAAATTTCTTCCTCTAGCTCACCATTTAAAAACGCAGTTTTAACATCCATTTGATGGACAAAAAGTTTGTGAATAGAATCCAAGGCAATTAAAGTTCGAATGGAAGAAATACGTGTTACCGGTGCAAATGTATCAAAATAATCAACATCTTGTTTTTGAGAAAAACCTTTCGCCACAAGCCTCGCCTTATATTTATCAATTGAACCATCCGGGTTTAATTTCCTTTTAAAAATCCATTTGCATCCGATTGGTTTACAACCTTTTGGTAAATCGGTTAAAACCCAAGTTTTATTTTGTTTGATTGACTCAATTTCGTTTTGTATGGCCTCAAGCCAAAATGGAGCTTCTTTTGAAGAAATAGCTTGTGAATAAGTTAAAGGCTCATCGTTAACAAGATAAGTATAAAAATCATTTCCAAAAGATTTTTCTATCCTTGGCCTCTTACTTCTTCTCAAAAGAGAAGGTTCATCATTAAAAGTATCATTTTCTTTTAATGGATCACAATCACTAGAGGAATCATCATTAAAGGTTTCATTTCCTTGTAATGGATCATACTCACTATATGGTGCAATGGTCTTGTGTTCACGTTTCAAAGGAAACACATTTTCAAAAAATTCGGCATTTTTTGTTTCAACAATTGTATCACATTCAAGCACATCACTTTGCAAAACAAGGAATCTATAGGCAGCACTAGATTCAGCATAACCAATAAACATGCAATCAGAAGTCTTAGAACCAATTTTCCTCTTCTTAGGATCAGGCAATAAGACCTTAGCTAAACACCCCCACACTTTCAAATATTTCAAATTAGGTGCAAACCCTTTCCACAATTCATAAGGGGTTTTCTTATTGTGCTTACGAGGAATCCTATTTTGTAAGTGACAAGAAGAAAGAATAGCCTCCCCCCAAAGATTATCAGGTGCACCGGAACTAATTAAAAGAGCATTCATCATCTCTTTTAGTGTCCTATTTTTTCTTTCAGCTATTCCATTAGATTCGGGTGAAAATGGCGGAGTGACCTCATGAATTATCCCCTCTTTTTCACAAAATTCATTAAATAAAATATATTCACCCCCTCTATCCGATCTAACTCTTTTAATCTTTTTATTTAATTGATTTTCTACCTCGGATTTATACACCAAAAATTTATCAAAAGCCTCATCTTTATTTTTAAGCAAATAAACTTTAGTGTATCTAGAAAAATCATCTATAAAGGTGACATAATATTTTTTGCCACCTCTAGTGATGGTAGTTTTTAAATCACCTAAATCCGTGTGAATTAAACTAAGCAATTCTGATTCCCTAAATGTGGAGGGACAAGGTTTTTTGGTTAGTTTAGATTGAACACAAACATCACATTTTTCTAGTGTCATTTTATTTTTACTAGAAATCAAACCACAATCATTTAGCATTTTAATATAAGAATTACTTGCATGTCCTAGTCTAGCATGCCACACATTGTAAGAATCAATTAAATAAATTGAAGCATTATCATGCAATATTTCAGAAATACTAAGCACAAAAAGTCCATTCTTACAATAGCCATTTCCCACAAGAACGTCATTTTTTGTCATAACAAAATTGTCACAACTAAAAGAAACTTTAACCCCAACTTTTCCCAAGAGAGAAACGGAAACCAAATTAGTCCGAATCTCGGGCACATGCAGCACATCATTTAATGATAAAGTTTTCCCTGATGTGAGCTTCAGAAGAATTTTCCATTTTCCATGCACCTTAACGGTTTTAGAGTCCGCTAGGTACACGAGCTCTTCACCATCTTCTATAATAGTATAAGAGGTAAAAGCATTTTTGTTTTTACAAATATGCTTGGTAGCCCCGGAGTCTACCACCCACTCATTCACATCATTAGTTTCACAACTTTGAGAAACAACCGCAATAATATTATCATCACTACAA